AAAGAAATCATGCAAACCTACTTGTAAGTTTTACCTTGAATCTGATGTCTTACCATACATGGCCACTCTGTGCTGCCTTCTCAGCTTTTTCAACCAGAACTCTGCTGTTAAGCCTTGTGCCTACCCACCTCAGCCTGATTCTACCTTCCTGAAACTAGAGCCCATTGGTCTCATCTTCACACCAAATTCACAACCCTTGTTACAGGTGCCAACCCCTTTTCTTTATTGTATTTTAACATTTTTATGTATTTTAATTTTTGCTTGTGGAAGAAGTGTTTTGTCAGGGCTGAAATCCTGATTTAAGCTGTGGATCCTATTCCCTCTGACTTTTACCTAGACTGCTGCTTTGGTTATTCATCATTTTTATGTCTGTAGTTGCTCAGTTTCTGTTGGATTGTTCCTATTTGCAAGCATACTTTCGTTTTTTTAAAAGATCTTCCTTTAAAAGTAATAAAGTGTTACAGCCTGCCTCCCCACTTAAGAAATAAAGCCCCTTCGTATCTGTTCCTTAGTGTTTTGCTTATTTCTCTATTTCCCTTTGTAGTCAACTTTGCTACATGAGTTATCTATACTTCCTCATTAACTATTTAACCATATACTATGTTTATTCTCTCCTTAGGTGATTTTAAGATTAATTTCCTTGTATTAAATACTGCAGTTATATAGTGACCCCAAATTTTCTCTGAACTGTAGATTCTAATACATAGCTGCCCTCTTTACATTTTAACTTCATGTCTCATAGGCACTTGAAGGTCAACATATTTAAGTTCTCGATTTCTTCCTGCTGTGTTCTATATCAGAAAATGTATTACCATTTCCTTCAAATCAAAAATGTAGTGACATCTTGTATTTCTTACCTTTTTTACTCAATACCTTAAGTTCATCAGAAGACCTGTCAGTTTGCTGTCCAGTACATCTTCCTGCTATTCTTTCTTGCCTCCCTCTAATTTAAGGGGTCTTAAAAATGTAAATTTAACTCTCCTGCTTTGAGACTAGCATTTTAGCATAAAATGTGATCTCTAGACTGTGACCTATAAGACTTGCATAATCTGCTTCCTTTTTGCCTCCTTAGCTTCTCTCTTATGTTTCTTCTTGAAGCTTCTGCTTCATTGGCTTTTTAGTTGTTGTAGTATTGTATTTATTTTCATGCCTTTATGTTGTTGGATATGCTGTTCCTTGCCTGAAATTCTGTTCCCTCCATTTTTCTTATGCTGGTTAAATGTCTCAGAAATTTTCTTCACTATTATCTTGTCTCTCGTGTTCTCACTACTCTTCTGGTTCTTTCATGTGATACCACAACTTGTAATTCATAATTCTGCTCTGACTGGAACACAAGCATCAAAAATACAGAGACTTTGGCTTTATTGGGCATGATTATATCTCCATTGCCTAGCAGAGTATATGCTACATGGTGGGCTCTACATAAAAAAAACAAAACAAAACAAACCCTAATGAATGAATGGGAAGATAAGTAGACTAGAAGTGGCCCTAAAAGCATCCAGCATTCTTGGAGTTCAGCTTTGAAAATATTGCTAATGAAAATGACCCTAAATTATCTAATAAGAAATTATCTAATAAGAGTTATGGTAAATGTAATGTATTTTAGAAAAATGGGCTTGCAAAAATAAGATTAAGCAATCTTGAGTAATTTAAAAAGAAAGCAGTTTTAGACTATATTTTATTCTAAATAGAACCTGAGTTTTGCTATGAGTTTTTTTTTTTTTTTAGTAATTGTATATTTTTCAAAGCTAAATAACTAACTTTAATCTTTGTAGATGAGTTATTAAGTGCCCTTCTGAATGTTAGGCACTCATCATTGGTTATAGACTCTTTGTGATTTGTCCACATGCTAAAATTAACCCCCAAATCAATACTTGGGTGGAGTTTTCCTGGTCATTGTGTATACACACAAAGCAGTAAAAAATTTGTGTGGATCTACACACATGTTCCAAGTTGGGGTCTAACAAGGAAACTCTGCCTTGTTTCAAGTCTCATAAATAAGCAACCATTTTTTGGTCTGTTTGGAGCTACTTTTTTTTTTTTTTTACATTTTCACTTTTTGTTGGTGATTTTACTATTCAAAATGGCCCCCAAGCATAGGACTGAATTTTTGTCTAGTATCCCTAAGCTGTGCTTAGACATGTACCTCATGATGAAAATTTGCTGGAATGATTCTCAGAACTCAGGAAAATGCTGTATTTATTTCTGTAGATATTAGATAGATAAGCTTTGTTCAGGCATGAAGTATAGTGCTGCTGACTGAATTCAATAGTAAGTAATAAACAATATATAATGTAAGGCATTTTTAAATAGAAACACACATAAAGCAAGATTATGCACTGATCAGTTGATGAAATGTTGTGACCAGAGGCTCGCAGGAACCTAACCCTGTATTTCCCCTAGGAGCAATGGTTCAGTGTTCGCGGCGACTTTATAGAACATAACTACCGCGAATAACGAGAATTGACTGTAAGTTAAAATTCTGGACTTAAATGGATATTTCAGGACATGCCTCCTCACCTGTTAATTGTAATTTAGGAACTTTTAGTTGGGAGATAAATAATTTTAAAATCATTAAACTAGGAGGAAACTTAGTTATTTTTGTTCTGTGATCCTTTTTGAGCACTTACTATATGCCAGTAACTATACTAGCTTTGCAGTATACAAAAAAAACGAAATCATATGATCTTTAGGAAGATTGGGGTAACGTACCATCTTAATTTAACTGACTGGTCACCAAAGGAGTGTACTGCAATTCAGTTCCACACAACACTGAGGTAGCACAGACCCCAGAGGTTAAAGTGAGAGTCCTTCACAAGTCTGAGTTTTACTTCATACATACACTAGCTGCAAATTGTTGGAGTATACAGACTACCTGTACTTCTGACTGGCTGGCTACAAATCTAGGATGCTCCCTTCAAGTTCAGTAATTCAAAACAGTGACTCATAGCACTCAGGAAACTGTACTTGTGATTATAGTTTTGGTATAAGGATACACATGGTTTATGGAAGGTTCCATGGTAGTGGAAGAAACACAGAGATTTCATGTCCTCTCCCTGTGGATTCAGAAGATGTTAGTTACTCTCCAGGCACATTAATGTGTTAACCAACCAGGAAGCTTCTCTGAGCTTCAATGTCCATTGATTTTATGGTATTTCATTTATAGATCTGATTTTATTTCATTAGTTTATGAGTAGATTTAAATGATTGAACTCAAATCTCCAGTCCTTCTCCCATCACTAGAGGTTAGGTGGCTGAAAGTCCCAGTCTGTCTAATCATATGTTTGGTGTTTCTGGTGACCAGATCCCATTCTGGAACTATCTAGTGGCCTGTCACACATTAGCTCATTAGCATAACAAAGACATTTTGATTACTTAGAACACTCAGAGGACTTTTGAAGCTTTGTACCAAGAATTGAGAAAGAAAAACAGATATATTCTTTATTACACCACAGAAAGACCACTTTGTAAACTATAGGAAATAAAAGGAAATAAATTAGGGGTTTGCCAGGTAAGAAGGGACATAGGTGTTTTTAAGCAGAGAGAAGAATATATGTGAAAACACCAAGAATATATGTGAAAGAATTAGTTGTGCTAGAATGTTTTACTTTCCAGTGGGGAATGACTGAAAAGTGACTCTGAAGCAGAGGACTATGGTTAAATCATAAAAGGCTGTGGAAGCAGGAAGTCACAACCTCTATTCACATTTGGGCCTTGTAGTATGTGTTTTAATGGAGATTTTCAAGCACACAAAGAGTAGACAGAATAATAAAGTGAATTCCTATGTCCTCTTCAGAGTAGCTGGTGATCAAATTTGTTTCATCTGTTCTCCCCTCACTTTAACATATTTTGTAGCAAACTCTGAACATCTTACTAGTTCAGTCATAAATACTGCAGTATGTATCTCTATATGTAAGTTTTGAAAAAACTACCACAATCCCACTATCATAGCTCAGAAATGTTAATAGTAATTCTTTAATGTCATTATATATTCAGTCATTACTCAAATTGCCAAGTTTATACTATTTTTTAAAACAGCAAGTGAGTTGCTAATAGTTTTTAAAGTTGATACTTTTCACATTGAGATCTAGATTTTTGTGATTGAAAAATTGGAAATTCTGGCAATATTAGGTCTTTATTTCTTTTTAATAATAATAGGAACTTGGTTAAGGTCCTTGCTTAGTTGCCATGGCTTTATCCTTTGAGAAGCCTTGGAGAATTGGAGGAGTACATGTAGGGAGTTTTGTGGTAGTCTCTGCTACAGTAGAAGATAAACTGAACAGAGGTCTGAACTAAAGTCATGTAGTAGATGAGGCAGAATCTAGAGAACAGAATTAATAACAACATATGAAAAGGGTACATTAAATATCTGAATATCAAATTTAGGTGATGGATAGATGGAGCACTAGATTAAACAGGAAATTTATAGTGAACTGTTTGGTTGTTGGGAGGGAGTAAATGGTTTATTTGGGCATTTTCACTGTGTGGTGGAGGTAAATACACGCAGTTGTTATTGGAACTCTAACCAAAACAACGTTAGATAAAGCGAAGAGTAAAAGGTTTTGAAATATAACCATTTCCTCTGATTCTTATCCACATAAAGTTTGAAGGGAAAGAAGGAAAGACTTCCTGTAAATGTGAGAATATTCAAGCAGCTTTCTTTTTAAAGATATCAATCACTTCAAGTTAAGGATAGATGGAGAATTGTGCTTGTGCCCACTTGCCTGAAGAGTTCACTTCATTTACTTTTAATAACATAGTTATATGAAACACAGATGTGACATAGCACGGCTGGCATCTAGTAAGTGCTTGGTAAGTGTTGGGGCTTGAGTACCAGTATCTATTCTGGATTACAGTTTTCACCTGATGTATTTCCCTCCAGTGTCTTCACAAATAGGAAACTCAGTAAATAATAATTGTAGAATAAGTGACTAATTCCCTTAATTTTAAGTGCTTTCTTTAAAAGGGGTTTTGTTTTGTTTTTTTTTTTCCCCCCTTAGTTTGAGGTGGTACCAACATCCTACAGAAGAAGAATTAAGAATCCTTGCAGGAAAGCAGCAAAAAGGGAAGAGCAAAAAAGATAGGTAAGTTATCTTGATGAGCTTGTAAAGGTTTAAATGTTTAACACAATTTATGCAAATATATTTTTATGCCTTACTTAGAGGAACATTTAAGTATGCTAAAAGCAATTGATAAATTTGAGATCAGAACCCATGCAATCTGATAATGAGAAATGAATATATAAGCACAAGACAATCATTATTCAAAAAATGGTTAACTTTATTCCTGTGTTTAAGTTATGAAGACAGTATAATTATCACATTAAAGAAATTTAGTTGAGGGTCAATTGAGGAGAGAACTGGAGCCATGTCTTTATAACTCACTTAAACGATGTCAATTGATTTTTCTACTCGTCCTCCTTCTCCTCCTTCTCCTCCTACTACTACTGGTTCAACTTCATTTTTAACTTGTTTTTTACCTCAGCTTCCTCATCTTTTTTAAAGTAAAAGAGGTGGACAGTGTAACTTCATAGACTCTGTTCAGTTCTTAAATTTTTTTTTTTCCTTCAGTGCTGGGGATCAAACCCAGGTCCTTCCACATGCTAAGCAAGTACTCTCACTGAGCTATATTCCTAGCACTTGTGAATATTTTATGTAATTGTTTAAAGTGTATGAAGAAAACTACCTACTAATAAATCTCATTGAATGTACCACAGTAGATTCTGTGAAATGGAAAGACTGAACATAGTCATTTTGAAGAATTCTTCCATTTTTAAATTTGCCTATCTTTAAGTTTAATTCTCAGGGAAAGTTCATGTAAATTATCCTCTCTGAATGCACCTTCATTTCCTCAACTGGGGATCCAGGAAGACTTTAGATCTTTTTGACTTTTAATGTATTATAAAATGTTAGCGACAACATTAACTTGGCCTAATAGATTTGTAGATGCTAAAAAAATTCTTTAAACATTACTGATTATCTGACATGAAATTGGACATTTGGGAAGACTGTATTTACTGATCTTATTGCCATCTTCTCTTTCTCTTCTCATTGTAAATGCATCTTGAGGTTCATAGGAATATTAATTGTAAACCTTTTTTTTAGTCCAATAAACTCTTTAATAAAATATTCTTTTTTAACATATTTTCCAAATTAGCTTTATGCTGTTATACTAAATCTACACAATGACCCTGAATAACTTGCTTTACATTTTACTAATGATCAGAAATGTTAAATGAGTTGCCCAAGGTGACATAATTAAAAGCCATGATTTTAATCTGAGTAAGTTTTTAGTTTCTATACTTATATTCCACTGTTCTACCTTTAATTTACCTATTCAGCACTTGTAGAATTTAGTTATGTAATACAGTATTCATTTTGTAAATATTTGAGTTCTTATATGCCTTGTAACGAACATTATTTTGTAATAATTTTTATCTGTTGAATATGATTTATAATTACAGAAAGATATGCTAATAATACTCTTTTTTCCTAATAGCAATGATTATTGATTAATCTTCATGTAATACTTTTACAAAGATTTTCTCAGTTTATATTTATTCAAGAATAAATGTAAAATTATTTGCCAGTATTGAAACTAATGTTGCTAACTAGGTTGTTACTTTCTATATTTATTGTTTTTGTCTTTAAAATGATACAAGTACACCTGAAGAGTTCTATTTTTCTCCACCTATGGTTTTTTGTAGAAGAAACTCAAGTTAGCCTTTCATGTTTCTCACTTTCTGTATGCATTAATTTTAATATTTTACTTCAGTTCTCACTGTAGTTATAGATCTGTTTATGTGTCTGTGTGTTGTGTATGTCATTTCATAAAATGAGAAGTACATTTTTTTATTTTCATTTCCTTTAATTTTATGCCTAAAGAAAGAGGTACTAGATTGTCTTTAAATCTACAAAAGCAAGAGTAGGAGAAATGGGTGTGAAATGCTATGCTAGCAACCAAAATTTTGTTGCTGTCACCAGTTTAGGTAATGCTTACTCTGGTAATCTATATGGTCACATCTTTTGAGTATATTTACCTTCTGCAGGATGAAATACTAGAAATTCTGCTTTTTTCACTGTGAAATTTTAAATCTCCTTTGTATTTAGTTGGATAACAGTGTAGGAAATTTGTTTTTTTGTGTCACTTGGATAACAGTGTAGGTAATTTGTTTTTTTTTTGTGTCACTTGTCTGATTTTTATAGGAAATATAATGGTCACATTGAAAGTAAGCCACTAACCATTCCAAAGGATATTGACCTTCATCTAGAAACAAAGTCAGTTACAGAAGTGGATACTTTAGGTAAGGGAAATCTTGGTAAATTATTCTGTAAAATTTAGTTTTATATTATGGTACTGAAAGTACTTTAATTTTATCTTTTTTTTTTTGTTTTTCTAATCATTAAGTCCATTAAACAGAATATGAATTCTAAGAACTTAGCTCAGAATGACTATTTGAAATTAATCTTTTTTCTATTCACTTAAATTCTGTTGTTTCCCATTTTTCAGAAGAGGCTAACTTATACAAACTTGTTAAATAATTTCTGTTTATTAAGTAGAAACTAGAGTATTATAGTCACAGTTTTGAACTTTTTGCTTGCTATACTAGCTAACCATCTCCTTTTATTGTGTGGCTTGCAAAATTGCATTTGTGTATTTGTATTGAATTACCTATATTTTCAATAATTCATGTAGTTGAAAGGAAAGTAGTTTTAGTTCATTATTATGAATGGAATTAGGATCAGAAAACTTCACTTATTCAAGATTCACTTTTACCCATTGTTTATCTCTAAATCATTTACTTTTCCTCCTATATGAATCTAAAATAAGTTCTGGGAATTTAGACATTTAAAAGTGCTCCAAGTGATTTTGATTTTTTCTTTTTCTTTTTCTTTTGGAGCACTGAGAGGTTTGAACATCGCTTCATGCTTACTAGACAGGTCCTCTACTACTTGAGCCACTCTGCCAGCCCAGGATTTCGGTTCTTGACCGTGTTTGAGAGCCATGGGGCTACTTGATTAAACAAGGAAATAATACATTTAAAAAAAAATTCCTGATAATGCATAGAGTACCATTATGCAGTTTGACCTTTCCTGTGACACATTTATCTAGCATCTTACATAGTTACTTTATAATATAAAATGTCATTGAAATACTGAAAGCTGAGTGTTACAACTACAAAGATTAAAATATATATATGTGTGTGTATATATATGTATATGTCAGTGAATAACAATATGAGTCAGTTGTCTAGGTTCACTTAGACTCAAAACTGGTTATGTCCTCCTCTTGCTCTTTTTCCTATTTTACAGGCAACATTTAAAATACCTGAAAGTACTGAAATTTTTTGTTTTAGTGTTCATATTTGTTGAGTCCTATATGTGTGCTTACTTGTGTGACAGTGTTTACAGACATGTATAAAAACAAGAATATAAACACATTTTCCTTGATTTCTTGTGTAGTTTTACCATTTTTGCTAATTACTGTTTATCAAAAAGTATCAGCTATTTACCCATAATAGTATCTTAAGTATGAGACATTGTTGAGTATCAGACATTATAAGTATTTGTATTAACATCCTTATAATTCTATGAGGTTGGGTAACTTACCATTTTTTTTTTTAACTCATTAGAAAATGATTTAAGTAACTGGGCAGGGTTGCACATGGAATGTGGTAGAGCCAATCAGTAAGAACTAGATTATTTTAATGAACTTAAAAAAAAAATTGAAACATAGTTTGTTGAGTATCTGATTTCATTTGTACAATTTTGAGAACTGGTTGCAAAAGGTACTAATTTACTAACTGATTACTTAATATTGAGAGCATTATAATTAAGCAGAATAGCAGGGAGATATTTCTTTATGTTTTTGTTTATGTAATCATTTGTGAATGTGTGCTGTGTATGTACATTTAAGTAAAAGCAGAAGGTTTTCTTTCTAAACTTCTTTTGACTCTCAGTAGTCACATATATAATTATATTACTGAATACAAAAAGAGTGTAATACTTAGGTCAAAACTTATGTGTGGCCAAAGATACATAATTTGTACTTTTGCTGAATATGCACATAATTGATAATCCAGTAGCTATCTTGAAAGTCTTAACTCAGTTTGTATTAGCTATTATAAGAATTTCTCAAAGAGCATAAGAACTTTTGAATGTAATCTGACTGTTTGCTAAGAGTGAGTTCCATGGAAGAAGACTGTGAATGTGGGCAGGCATCGAGAATCAGAATGTTTTCTTTAGTTATTGTTAGTAGAAATTAAAAATATTTAAATAAATGGTATTTGTCTATCTTTTCTATCCATTTCACTGTACTCCTTCCAGAAAATTACTCAAAGGTCGAATGTGGATAATTAAAAAAAATTTTTTTTTCCAATACTAAGGTTAAACTCAGGGGCTTGCAATTGCAAGTTTAAGCCATATCCCCAGCCCTTTTTGCTTTAGTTATTTTCTGGGTAGAGGCTCATATTTTTGTCTGGGGCTGGGCTTTAGATCATGATCCTGCTACCTAGATTCTTTTATGTAGCTGGGATCACAGGCACATTCTACCATGCTCAACTTTTTTGTTGAAATGGAGTCTCAATAATGTTTTATCAGGCTGGCCTTAAACCATGGCCCTTCTGATTTCTTTCTCTTGAGTATCTAGGATTATAGGTGTGAGCCACTGCTCCTGGCTGCATAGTATTTTTCTTTGTGGTGAAAAGGATTGATAGAGGTATTCTGTAACCACTTTGGAATAAATCTTTAAGGTTGATGTTCAAAAATTAGGCCAATCTCAAAAGAAAATATAAAACAATTAAAATAACTTAAAGGAAATTAAGAATGTTAACATAATTTAAAGCAAATGAATATTTACCCAATCATAAATTATTTGAGATTTCAAAAATACTACTGTTACCACTTAAGACTGATACATGGTTGGGTTAGGTTGTTTTGAATGTTTTAGTAAATCTTACTTTGGCATTTTATTTTTAAAATGCTTTTCTGAAAAAATATTGTGTCTTTGGGTATAATTGTACATTTTACAACCAAAATAGATCACTTTGATTTGTACCAGTAAGAACATGTGAATTGACATTTGTATTGCGATTCACTTCCATGCTTTTAGGGGGCCTTCTAAAAAAATAATGGTGATTTGTTTTGAACCACACTCTAGCAGAAGTAAGCCAGAATGTCTATACCTTGTAAGAAGTTTAAATCAAGTGAGATGCAAAGGTTGATGAAATTGTATTTACTGTCAGAGAATTGTAATTTTAATGTAAACTGAAGAATGGAATCACTGGTGAAGGGGTATGGTTTTATGTAAAATCAAAAAAACATTTCAACACCTTTTAGAGAAGAGGGAATAGAATTACTTGTCCTCCATCAGTGTGGTTAACAATTGAAACATAAAGTTTAACTTAGTACTTCTCAGAAATGAACTGTACAAGTAAATCTTTTGTATTCTAGATCAACCTAGTTTCATTGAAGTTCAGATCATAGCTAGATCCTTAAAAAGAAAATTTTTTTACTTATAACTGTAAAAAAATAGCTAATCAGCTAAGAAATGTCAACACATTTGCAATCATATTTTAACAAGTTTAAATAATTTTACATAATTTTAGATGATTCTTATTTAATTTGAGCTTTTAAAATTTAATTTTTTATGCTAACATTTGAATCTGTTTTCTGCATTTTTACATTGCAAAACTTTACATATCATCAGATAGAATAAAGTCTAGCATACTTAGTGTTAATCATAGATAAATCC